GCCCCAGCACAGGGCAGGTACATGAGAACACATGCCCAGCCTGATAATGGAACAGGCATGCTGGATCCACATCACAAAAGGCTTAATATGCCATGCCAGGTGGTTTGACTTTTTTCCTGTAGCAAGAGGGAATTATAAGAGGTTTTTCATTAGGAAAGTAATATGGTCCTGTGTATGCTTAAAAAAAGACAACCCTGACAACGGTGTGAAGGATAGCATCATGGATGTGTGTCTGAAGAAATAATGTGTCGAATCTCCCTCAATGAGGAAAACCTGGGAACACTGCCCTTGTGATTGGGAAACAGATAAAGACGCCCATTATCCCCACTCTTATTCAACATATTGTTACAGTCTTAGAGCTATTAGACAGCAAAGAAAAATCAAGGGATCCACTTTAACAGAGAAGTGAAACTCCCACTATTTTCAGATATGATTTTATATGCAGAAAATCCCCAAGACTCAACCAAAAAATGTGGAAGCAATCAAGAAATTCAGCAGCATGGTAGAATAAAAGAATACAAATATCAGCATACAAAAATCTAGTATTTCTGTATACTAATGAATAGAGCTCTGGGGGGAAAAAATCAAGAAAACAATACCATTTACAATAGGCAAACAAAAAATAAAATACTTAGAAATAAATCTAACCAGAGATACAAAAGACTTGTACAAAGAAAACAACAGAACATTACTTCAAGAAACCAAAATAGACCTACATAAATGTCCATGGATAGGAAGGCTTAATATTGCGAAAATATCAACAATACCCAAAATAATCTGTAAGTGCAATTCAATCCCAATCCAGATTGCAACTTTGTTCCTTAACTAAATGGAAAACTAGTTATTACCATCACATGGAGAGACCCAGATGACTTCATATGGGAAGAGACCCAGGCTAAGTAAGGAATTTCTTAAGAAGAACAAAGTAGGCGGTCTCTCACTTCCTCACCTCAAAATCTATTACACAGTCACAGTACTTAAAACAGTCTGGTACTGATATAAGGATAGATACATACACTAATGGAACCGAATATAGAATCCATAAATAAATGCATTCACCTACAAAAAGCAGATCTTCAAAATAGAACCCATTACATGGGACAGGCATAGTCTCTTCCTCTAATGGTGCTGGCAAAACTGGATTTCCAACTGTAGAAGCATAAAACGGGACCCATAGCTCACCTTCTTTACAAAAACACATTCAAAACTGATCAAAGAGTTCAATGTAAATCCCAGAACTGTGTTGTTGTTAGATGCCATACAGTTGGTTCTGACTCATAATGACCTTATTATGAACAGCAGAACGAAACACTGACCAATCACAAGTGTTCTTATGTGTGAACACATTGGTGCCACCACTGAGTTGATCCATCTTGTCAAAGGTCTTCCACTTTTTCACTGCCCGGCTTCTTTATCAAACTTGATGTCCTTCTCCAGGGACTGGCCTTTCCTGGCAACGTGTTCAAAGTACATGAGACAAAGTCTCGGCATCCTTGCCATTAAGGATCATTCTGGTTGTACTTCTTCCAGGGCAGATTTGTTTGTTCTTCTGGCAGGCCATTGTACCTTAATTTTCTCCATCAGCACCATAATTCCTCATTCAGTGTCCAACTTTGACATGCACATGAGCCAATGTTAAATAACATGGCTTGATCCAGGTACACTTTAGTCCTCAAAGCAACATCCTTGCTTTTCAATACTCTAAAGAGGTCTTGTGGAGCTGAATGACCCAATGCAATGAGTTCTTTAATCTCCTGACTGCTGATTTCATGAGCACCGATTGTGAATCCAAGCAAGAAATCCTTGACAATGTCAATCGTTTTCCAATTATCATGATGTTACCTACTGATCCAGTTGTAAAGATTTTGGTCTTCTTTACATTGATTTATAATACATCAACCCTTGAACTTCCTCAGCAAGTACTTCAAGTCCTCACTTTCAACAAGCAAGGTAGTGTCATATGCATATTGTGAGTCATTAATAAGCCTTCCTTCAAACCATATGCCACATTCTTCATGTAGTTCAGCTTCTCTGATTATTTGCTCATTATATAGATTGAATAAGTATGGTGAAATGATACAACCTTAATACACACACCTTTCCTGATTTTAAACCATGCAGTATACCGTTGTTCTATTTGCATAACTGTCTCTTAATCCATGTTCTGGAATTCTCACACAGTTGAATGCCATAGCATAATCAATAAAATACAAGTAAACATCTTTCTGGTATTCTTTGCTTTCAGCCAAGATCCATATGACACCAGCAATGACATCTCATGTTCCACCTCCTCTTCTGAATCTGGCCTGAACCTCTGGGAGTTCCCTGTCAATGCCCTGCTGCAAGCCATTGTTGGATGATCTTTAGCAAAATGTTACTTGCATGTGATGATATTGTTTTACAATTTGAGCATTGTGTTGGGTCAACTTTCTTTGGAATAGATAGATATATGAATCTTTTCCAGTCAGTTGGCCAAGTAGCTGTCTTCCACACTATAAGATTCATCTATGAGAAAATAGGCATAAACATAAGGGCTCTATTCCAGAGCATGGACACACTATCAAATACAAGGAAGAATGCACACACAGGTGACGACAAAAGAGATGCCTGGGGCCTATGAAGAACAAGATGCTTGTTTGCATCAAAAAACTAAAAAGCGAACCCACAAAGTGGAAACAATTTTTGATAAGACAAGTGACTAATATCTTAAAAACTAGAAAGAACTGTAACACCTTAATTAGAAAAAGTCAAACCACCCACTTAAAAAGTGGGCAAAGGACACGAGCCAACAACTTGCCAAAGAGGATATCCATAAGGCTAACAAACGAAGAAGTACACTCACTATGCCACTTACACTGACAATGACAGGCACGTTAAAAAAACACACACACACACACACAAAATAAATACTGGAATGGCTGGGAAGAGTCTGGACCCCTCATACACTGCTGGTGGGAATGTACTTATGTGCAACAAAATGTATACATAACAACGATATGACACCATCTCAAACAACCGGGGACTGAAATTCCATGTGACCCAGCAGTCCCTCTGTTGGGTATATATCCTACAGAATTAAAAGTTATAACATGGACAGACATATGTCCATTCATGTTCATCACAGCACTTGTCACAATAACGAGAAATAGAAATAATCTAAATTCTTATCAGTATAAGAATGTATAAAGAAATGTTGGTACATATACATCATGGAATAATATGCAATGCTAAAAAGCGATGAAGAAACCACCAACCACTTCATGGCATGGATGGACCTGGATAATACTGTGCTGAGTGAAGTTGACCCATCACAAAAGAACAAACATTTATGAAACCACTGTTATAAGGGGAAGCAAAGATACAAGATTTTCATACCAAAAGGAACAGCTGTTGGAGTTTGCCGAGTGCAAGGGGGAGGAGGGCAAGGAAGGGACTATAAAGCAATGAGCTAGACTGGTGCTGGGTGCTAACGTGGGTGACATGGAAGATAGTGGTCCACAAGAAGGAGAAGAAAAACCATGAAGTGGGTGAAAGGTAAACTACTATGAGGTTTGGCAAGTAGTTCAAACTGCTGAATGCAAAGTCCATGATCTAAAATGTAAATCATTACATAATATACAATAAGTTTTTTTAAAGTATGTGTCAACTTGGCTAACATCATTCTCAGTGGTCTGGCAATTATGTAATGGTGCAATCATCCCCTATGATATGATCTGATGTGATCAGCCAATTAGTTATAAGGAGATTAAGGTGGGCTACAATAACTTCATTCAGGTCACAGCCCTGATCTGATGTAAAGAGTGTGGCCTGCATCACCTTTTTAATCTGACAAGAGATAAGAGGAGAGAGCAGTGAACAGAGGGAGGGCCCTCAGTACCAACAAGAAAGACGAGCCAGAAGCCTACTGTGTCCTTTGTACCTAGAGTCCTTGTGCTGAAAACCACCTGAAGACAAGACACACGGAAATCACTCTCCAAGGGACCAGGTCCCACAGATGCTAAAAGGAGACAAGGACCTTCCCCCAGAGCCCAGAGAGAGAGAGAGAGAGAGAGACAGCCTTCCCATACACCTGAATTTCTGTATGTTAAAACCATTAACTTGTGGTATTTCTATTATAACAACATTTACTAACTAAAACAGATGGACTGGGGAGAGTGACCAGAAGCAGGGAGAACATTTAAAAAGACACTGAAATATTCTGGAGAAAAGATATGGGTGACAAGAAGTGAGAGAACAGGAGGAGGACATTTCAAAGGGAGAATGAACAGGGCATGAGGTTCCACTGCGAGAGAGAAGGATGACTGATATTTCCCACAGCATCCGAGCAGTGGTCCTCAACCTAATGCGGCAGCCCTTAAACAGCTCCTCATGCGGTGGTCACCCCCCAACCATAAAGTTATTTTTGTCGTTACTTCATAACTGTAATTTTGCTTCTGCTATGAATCAGACGAGCCCTGTGAAAGGGTCATTCGACCCTCAAAGGGATCGCGACCAACAGATTGAGAACCGCTGCATTAGAGCATTAGGAACAACAACTTCTCCCTGGATCCTGGGTTGCACTTCTATCTAGCTAGTGCCCGCTTCCTATATCTACCCTGTCCACATGGGCAGCCCTGGTGCCAGGTCTCAATCCCTCACTCTACCTGATGGGTTATGATTAATCTCTTGAGAAAATGCAAAGGTTTGGTTTGCAGAGCAAGGGGTCAGGAAGGTTCTAGGGGAAGGTTCTCCCTTTGCTTACCTCATACAGTGCACAACAGATCTGCTGCATTTACAGATCAAAAGAAGAGTAAGATCTACAAGTCATAAATTGATAGTATTAAAAAATAGCTAATAGGTGTACCTGAAAACTAACAAGCACTTTTAGAATAGCTTCCTAATTGGTTTTGAAATTGCTTTTTTTTTAAAAAAAATGTATTGGCTAGTTTTCGTGCTCATTGTCATTCTACTGTTCAAGGGTAGACATTCGCGTTAAACTGTGCATTCAGCAGGCTACTTACAACATGTACATTATGACACCTATGCTCCAAATGTCACACTGCTGGCTATAGTCGTGGGCATTGATAACTTCAGGGGCTGCCAAATAAGCAAAAAAAATATTAATAATACAATAAATGACGTTTACTGGTTAAACACAAAGCATGAAAAATGTGCTGAAGTGTTGTAATTTATTCCCCAACAGGAAAAAAACCAACAGCAGGTGTTAAATGAATAATGCACAAGCCTTAACAATTGGTGTCACTGTAATCCTCCTCTTATCATTTAGCTTCTAATGGAACAATGGCATAAACTAGATAACTAAATGTACTGCTCTTTACTCCTTTGAAATTGTTAAGAAATGATTTGCAAGAATTGTGTACTCATGGTAGAAAACAAAGTTCTTTTCCAAAAAGAGAAACGGAATGTATGCCTTAAGTGGATATAATTTAAAGCAAGCCCAATGTATGGAAATATGGATTCACAGAAAAACTAAGGTAAACAGTTATAAATCACTTTCGTAAGAGAATAACAATAGCAACCTCACGGCTGAGGCAGAATAAGAATAAGAATTATTTTTCAAATGTTCTAAATGAGAAAACCAAGACAAAGAGAGCGAGCACTCCTCAGGCATGACTGGATTGAAAAGCCAATGAGCCACAGGACAAGACCAGAGTGGGATGCCACACTCCCCTGCTCTGTGGCCCCACAACACAAAGTTGTGCACAGTGCACTTCCTTAAAAAGCAGCCTCGAGAGCACAGACGACGCTGCAGAAAAAGTGAACCAATTTCTCAAGGCATCTCCTTTTTTTAATTATCAGGTGTTTGTTCAGTGACTGGCATTGTTTCTAATCATATTATAGTATTTCAGAGCTTCATCTGATGTTACTTTGCATATAAAGATAGGGGGGAAAGAACAATAAAATATTTTTATTTATATTTACAACATAAAAATAAAATGTGTGTATATAATGTATATATATATCATAGGGACTTCAAAATTTACAGATATTTTTTTGTATGAACTATGTTATTTGGCTTCTGAAGAATCGTAAGAAGTGAGTATACGAGCATTTTCACTTTCCCAATGAGGAAACTAAGATTCAGTTACCTTAAATGATTTGCCAAAAGTTTCACAGCTGCAAATGCCTCCCACATAAAATCTATGTTTTTATTTTCAATAACAATCTCATTCTACATACACATACACACATAACTTTTACAATAACTACTGAAAGCAAAATGAACCCGATGTAATTTCATTTACTCTCCTTCCTTCTACCTAACGTGTTAGGAACAGCAACTAACTAAAAAGCAACGCAAAGGAGTCCAAATGTTGGCTGAGAAAGAATAAAAGGCTACATGATAGATCATTAATAAACTGTGTTATAAATCATGAGTAAACTAAGTCGTCTCCAAGTCACTAATTAAGATTTTTCCTTTAAGCAACTACTTGTATTTTTGAGGTCTACTTAAAATCCTGAAATATTAACTCATTCATGTTCAAGTTGCTCCATGGCTCCAACTATGATTCGGGCAAATTCTACGACAGGAGTCAATGAAGTACCTCTGCTAGGTGCACCACACGGCAGGGGACTAGAATCGCTGGTCCTCCCTCTTTCAGAGTTGTCTTAATTTTCTGGGGCAAATCTACTTGCTCTGTCATCGTAGCCCTCATAGGGAAGCCAAGGACAGAATAACACTCGGACCTGAGCCAAAGAGCCATTGAGAAAGTCAGCAAAGCTCCGCAAACCGTCGGTCTTCTCTCTTGTTCTCTCACTTGTTATCAGTGTAGACAACTAATAAGGAGGCAAAAACTCAGGGTGCTTGGATATATGTTCCCTGTGTAACTACAGACCAGCTGAGATGAAGGGCAGTGGGGAAATATTGACTAAACGGTACACAAAAAACTTTCTGTAGAGACAGAAAGGTTCTGTATCTTCACTGGGTAATAATTATACAGCTGTATGCATATGTTTCAAAACTCATCAAGCCAAAAAAAACAAAAACAAACTCAAACTACTTATCTGTGTGTGTCATTGTATATACATTATATTTTAATAAAGTAGATCTTTAAAAATTACTGAAAATACAAAAGGATTTGTCAAAGCCACTATTTTGGTCAATGATTTTAATAACTTTCTCTTAAAAAGAAAAAGAAAAACCAAACTCACTGTCATCAAGTCGATTTCAACTCTTAGCGACCCTCAAGGACAGACTAGAACTGGCCCTGTGAGTTTCTGAGACATCAGAAGAAGCAAACAAAAATAACTAGCAATATGGAAAATATAAATCATACAGGTGTCACATGGGAATTTTTATGGTCAATGAACAGAGTGGACATTTTGAACATCCACGAGAATATTTAGAAGCCCTGGTGGTTCCGGGGGTGAATCATTGGACTGCTCATTGGACTGCTAATGTCAAGGTCAACGGTTTTACCTTTGAAACCCACCAGCTTGTCCAAGAGAGAAAGTTAAGGAAAGTCGTGGAAACCTTGAAGAATAATTTTACTCTTTCCTATAGAGAGGGAAAAAACCCTCACTGCCATCCAGTCAATGCTGATTCATAGCGACCCCCTGTGGGTTTCCAAGATCGTAACTATTTACGGGAGTAGAAAGCCCAGTCGTTCTCCTATCAAGCTGCTGGTGGTTTCGAATTGATGACCATGTGGATCACAGCCTAACATGTCAACTTGACAGCAATTGGCAGGGAAAAATTCTAAAACTTGATCATGTGTTCAATCCCTCAAAGTTGAAAACCTATAAGCCACATTCACCTACTACAGTGAAGACCAGATTTTTAAAAAATGGCTAAGATAAGCTAGCTAGCACACATTCACAAAAGAACATACTCAAAACAATCCAGTCATCTGCAGAAAACTGAAAATATGCTGCTAAAACATAAATTCCAAAAGTGAATGGTTTTCACAGTCAGAAATCTATTCTCTCCCAGCTCAGGAGGTTAGAAGTCCAAATTCTGGGCACCTGCTCTAGAGGAGGGCTTTGTTCTAGAGGAAGTCCTTACATCTCTGTCAGCTCTGAGAAAAGGCCCTTGTATCAACATCTTCCACCATCTGGGTGTCTAGCATCTCTGAGAGATCTTCATGTGTTTTAATACGAGTCTTCTCTGGGTCTAGGAGGTTGTCAGCATAGGGACTGCAGTTCCGAAGACTTACTCCAGCCTTCCCTCCAGGCTCTTCTTGCTTGGTGGCACTAAGGTCCCTCTCTATTTGTTCACTTTACTCTCCTTTTATCTCTTCTAAGAGAAGAGATGATATCATGGGGAGGATACCATGGAAAATGATCACATCGTTATATAACTGGCAAATCCCTGAGAATTGTGGTCCTGACAAGTTGATGGTTATTTGAGGGAGAGATATTTTCAATTCACGATATTTCACCTTTTAGTCACCCCAAAATTCATGTCCCTACCACATATAAAACACGTTTACTCCATCATATTATCCCAAAAGTCTTAAATCAACTCCAAGTTCAAATTCCTTCGAGGGCAAAATTCTTCTTCATCTGAGAACCTGTGCAATCTAGACTATAAGTTCTCTACTTCCAAAATACAAGGGTGGAACAGATATAAACAGATATTTCTATTACAGATGGGAAACATTGTAGGGAAAGGAGGAATAAAAAACATAGAACAAGTCAAAAATCCAGAAGACCAATGAACACATTAGCTTTCAAAGATTGAAAATCATTTTCTTTTCTGAGACTAGGTAATAGTTTTGCCCTTGAAACTCTGGGTCCTGGTCAAGATCGAGGTCCTGGTTCAAGACAGAGGCTGCCTGGCTCTAGGACTCAGCTCTGTCTTCCAGATCCACTGGAATAGCGACTCTGCTCCCTGAGCTTTAGGCAGCCCCTTCTCCTCGTCCATCTAAGTGTCACCCCCACTCCTCATCTCCAGATGGATCCATTCTCCGTGAATGGTAGCCTCACCCTCTAGAATGGAGTTTGTGAAGATCTAACTCTTTGACGCCTAATAAACTGGGACCCAACCCTTCGAAACTCCAGAAGGCATGAACTCCCACTTTGAGACCCCACAGACTATGGCTCCACCCCATGAAACTAAGGCAGCTCTGTTTTTGTGTCCCTTGTCTCTTTAGCTTTTGTTCCTGTTCTTCCGCTTCTCAACCCTTTAGGCCTCTTGGACCAGGAACAACCTCTGTGTACTCAGGTAAAGTATTGCCAAGCTCTTGAGTTCTACCAATATGTGCCAGAGGCACTGCAATCTACCAGGAAGCCTCTTGCCCAAAGGCACTCAGCTCTCTTGCTCTGTGAGTCAGCTTCTGTGCCATCTCACTTCGGTCTCCTGGTACTGCTGCTGCCCTTCTAAAAGTTAGACACTCTGTGCATCAAAAGATTTAACCAAAAGAGTAAGTGAATCACAGACGATGACAAATATTTTGGCAATGAAATGTCAGAAAAGAGTAATCTTGAAAAAAAATTAGATACCTCAAATACTTTAATAACTCAAAAATAAAAAGATAAATAACCCAATTTAAAATGGACAGAAGACATGAACAAAGAAAACATTCAAGTGGCCAAAAAATACAACAGAATGCTTATGATCATGTGCAATTTGAGAGATGCAAATCAAAACAATGACATGTCACACTTCACCCAGCATTAATACCAAAGTTAAAAAAAAACACAGATAACAAAAAATGCTGGCAAGGATACAAAGAGACTGGAACCCACATACACTGATAGTGGGACTGTAAAGTGGTGGAACTTCTATGGAAAGTGGTATGGCATTTCCTCAAAGAGTAGGAGATGCCACCCGACTCAGTTGGTAACACCAAGTGACCCAGTAATACCTCTACTTGGTAGACATCCTCGAGAAATAAGAACCAAGCTATGAAAAGATATATGCACACCCATGGTCATCACAGCTATTCACCATTCACAGCAGCAGAAAGATAGAAACCATCTAGATGTCCATCAGTGGAAGAATAAGCAAACACACTCAAGTGTAGAGATACAATGGAATACTATGCGCATCATTAAAGAATAACAGTGAAGCTGCAAAACACCCTACAACATGAATAGTCTTAGATGATCTAATGCTGAGTGCGATTAGTCAA